CAGGGACTGTGAGCAATTGCAATGGCTAGAAAACAAGGTCGACAGTGGAAATGATGGCAGAAGAGGATGAAATCATGAAGGAAAAACAACATCAAATTATGGTTCTTATTATTGCCCCTTCTAATGCTCAATCTTTGTGTCATGATAATGAAACCGTCAACTTAGAAACTATGGGATTATTATTCATCTTCCACAAAGAATCAATGGCACATTTCCTCAAATAGTAAGGATTCCTAATACATTTACAACATGATTTGTTTTGTAAATTTAGATTGACATGCAACTTTTCAGAACAGGTGGATTATAAACAAACTATGTCTTGACTGGTATGAGTGTCGCCTCACCTGCATAGTTGGAAAGGACAGTCAGAGTTGTTTATATTTTGTTCTGTTTTACTGAGGGAAATATATTTGCTTAAGAGACTGATGAGATGGCTAAAATGAGATGTTAATAAATATTATTTGCTTATGGGCTGTGTGCTTGGAAACTCTTTAACCATTGATTGCAAGGCAGAAGTTTTTGAAGTTGTATTTCTTCTTTGGGTTCTGATACTGACCATAAACGAAAATGTTAACTGTGAATTTCTTGGCATCCTTACACTGAAGGCTCCATGTGGATTTTCCTATACATGTTCCATGTATTCTTTGTATCTTAAAAACTTTTGTTTTGAACTAACTCTAGACTCACAGAAAATTTGCCAGGATAGTATAGAAGGGATAGTTGCTCTGTACTATATATTTCTCACCAAGCTTCCCCAATGCTCACATCACTTTAGAAGGGGACTGATTGTTTATTTTGTCAAACACCTCTTTCTATAAATTTGTCTGAATATTATATCATGACTTGACTGAGATTATGCATTTTGGGTACGAGTACCTCAGATATGAAGTTGTATCATTTGCAGTTCATCGTATCACAGTTCATGGTGTTGTATATCCTTACTAGTGTTGTTGACCTTGATCATATGCTCAAGGTGATTTCTTTGCATTTTTGATCCTAATGGCTATTTTTGAAAGATAGCAAAGTAAACTCACAGAATGTGGCACTAGAAGAGGACCTAGAGACCATCTTTTATAAATCCTCCTTTTTTACAGTTAAGCTCTTAGGTCTAACACTGCCCAGTCATTTAATGACAGGGCAGGAACTTCACAATCAAGTACCTGGGCTTTGAGTGTAATGTTCTGTGTACTTCCTAGCTGTGCTCAAACACTTATAATTCACTTAGTCCCAGTTTTGTCAGACTATAAAATAAAAATGTACTATATGAATATTCGGCTAACTTCAGGAGAAATCATAGAGAGGTGTATACTCCACAGTTGATGATGCCCACTCAGAGAGCTAGCCAAGGCTGGAAATCAGCTGAACTTCTGTATCAGCATTTCTGAAATGAAAATAATTCTCCTGGAATGCTCCATATAACACATAGGGAACAACAACAAAAAAACCTACTTGAGATTTTTAACAGAAAAAGGAGATTTGTTTATTAATAATTCATGAGTTCCCATTGAACATGCACGACAGAAACAGTGCTATTCAATAGAGAATACTGTCATCTGTCACTGTTTTATTTGACATTTACACTTTTTTTTTTTTTGCCTGATACTGCAAAACTTTCTTGGATGGCATGCAAAAATTATATAAATGAAAAAAATCCCAATGTGGGGACCCTTTATCTGTTCTGTGATGGCTTAACTGACAATTTACATACATGTGTGTTCATGTAAAAGCATGATAATTTCTCACACATTCACTAAATACTTAACAGGCTAATAAGAGATCCTATTGAGAAAACAGGGATAAGCATTCCAAATAGGCTGCTGGAAGGATCATGTGCATAAAATAAAGGTGAGTAGATGGGAAGTGAGGTGGAAGAGTGGATCTCCTGGATATAAGCTTGCAAATCTGAGCAAGTGAGTCAGAGTGAGGGGAAAGCAAAGCATGGCTGCCATGAGGAAAACTGACGAGAAAATACATTGCCATTTCTGAGACAAAATAAATATTTATAAATGGCATCGCAGGAACTCCTTTAGTAGGGAATATCGATATTTAGTAGAACAGCAAATCAGAGTTAGGAGCTCCTTATGGTTTTGTGCTACTGTAAGGCTCCTGACAATCTTTCTGCTCTGTAGGTTAGTTATTATTTATAAAAATCACAGAACCAGCTGATACATTCATAAGCTAATTATTGAAGCAGCTGGGTACACATGGTGCAATATGTCCAAGGCTGTGAAGTATCACAGATTTCTTGGGGCCTGCTGTGGTGGGGGTGCGCTGTTGAAGGCTCCATCCCTTAATCTGATCAGCCAAGCAAACACTTTGTGGGGAAACTAGATTAATAACCCTCTAAATACCATGAATGTGCTTCATCTTCAAAACCGGGTTCCCTTAAACATGCTATTAGCTCAGCTCCATGAGGGATTTGAGGAAGTTCTCTGGTGCCCTAAGCACAGGGTCTTGTTGGCTACCTCCCTGTGCCAGAAATTAATTTGGTTTGCTTATGTCTGCACACATGATCACACTTGTGTCTAATCCGCTCCCTAATAGCTTCAAGGTCAAGACCTTGCATGTCAGTGGGCAAATTGAGCACTACACTTCTTAAAGACGGATGGCAGACAGCACACAGTCCATAACAAGGCCTGTAGTGTTGTTCTAAGCGATTGTAATGAGTGCAGATTATAACAGCGCATATAAATCAAATGCAGCAATGAATGTTGTGTGAGACATTCCAAGTGGCATAAGTGGAGATACCACTCAGCTGTCACCTGTCTCCTTTCAAGCTGTGGCTTCCCACAATGCAATTCACTCTTCAGGCTGAGCAGCAGGTGCTGTCTTCCTTAAGGTCTGAGTACCTCAGGACTTCATCTTTTAACAGATGTAGGTTTTGTTTTTATTTTCCGTTAAATGATTGGTCTCCATGCTATCGCTTCCCCTGGGAGATGTTAAACATACCTGTGTGAAACATTTGAAAGAGTTCAGTTGGAGACTTATTCAGCTCTATGAAAAGACAGAGAAATAGGAGCTTATTTTTTCCACAGATGGTTTCTTTTCCATTTCAAGAATTCTTTCCTTTGTGCAAAGAAGCCCTTGAGGAAACACTTTGGGACTAGGAAATTTTTAGAAATATAATTTGTTTTCTGGTAGGCACAAAAAATTTGTCTTCGTTTTTCATATACATTGCACCTTGAAAAAAATCGATCATTACTTGTCTTTTAATTGATTTGGAAAAAAAATCCATGAAAACACTTGGAAAAACATTTCCAAGCAAATGTTAAGATATCTTGTTTTCATTCTTCCTAACCCTCTAACTCTCCCAAGCTCCCAGTTTATTGCAAGAAAAGATCAGGTCTGCGCAAATGTGGCCTCTCACTTGTAAAAACAAGGCAGTGTTGTGTTACAGATTAGTTTATAAATCCCCAGTGGCTTCACAGTTCAGTGCCTACAGCTGCTGCAGATGGGCCTGGGTTTTTGTCTCTTCGCGGTGCTGCAGCCGGCAGTTGAAGGAGAAAATGGAATGATCAGGTTATTAACATGGAGGCCGTGAGGAAGAGGCTGCACAATGAGAACAGCTGGTGTTGCTGTCTTGGCTGATGCAGCGGAGATAATCAAATCTTGCCTCTTTTTGGGTAAAGGCAGAAGACACAGTGGAGAGTTAGACAAACAACGGCTTATGATATTATATGGGGTTTTTATAATGCATGTCAGGAACTCTCGTTGGCTTGCAAGTTATGATAGAGAATTTGTTGAGGTTTGGGGTTTATTTTTCACAAAGTCATTTGTGTTTATGCACCTCTTTAGAAAAATTTTTACTCTTTTGCAAGAGGCATGATGTGGGACAGTTCTTGTTTTCAAAATCAGCAATGAAGCTTAGAAATGATGGGTTAGGAAGCTACTGGGTAAAATATTTTGACATGAGTCAGTGAGTGATGTTGACAGCATCCTCTGTATTATTTTCATATAATCCATCATTATTTGCATTACATTTTCTTCTTGTGCAGTTGCAAGGGAAGAACATCCGGATGCCAGAGTTGGGAGGTAGGCATTTGCAGGTGTGACCCGACCAACTGCCTACCTCCCTGCAGGTGTGGCTGTGATGGGACAGTGATGGTTAAGAGGGCCAAGAGCATAAGGCATTCAGAAATTGCCACATGTTGGTTATTTTCATTCTTGCTTAAGTTATTTCCATTTTTTGTGGCGTTATTGACAATTGTAATAATATTCCCTTCCTAGGTAGTGATATTTACCATTGAAATTTTGTTCTTTAGAATTTGCCTTTTTGTAATACATACTTTTCACATCACTCTTTTCTCAGAATGAAATACTATCCAATTGGATAACAGAATATTGTCCATTTGTCTGACAAAATGCTAATGACCATTTCTGAGATTCAAAACTGTAATCTCACTTTATTATGTTGTTTTTCTAAAAATTGATTTTATTTATTTGAAAGGTAGAGTTAGATGGAGGGAGGGAGGGAGGAAGAGACAGAGAGACAGGGAGAGAGATTTCCTGTCTGCCAGTTTATTCCCCAAATGGCCTGGGCTGTTCCAGGATCAAGACAGAGCCTGGAACTCCATCTGGTTTCCCATGTGGGTGGCAGGGGCCCAAGTTCTTGGGTGATCTGCTGCTGCTTTCCCAGGCACATTAGCAGGGAGCTGGGTTGAAAATAGGACTTGAACCGGCTCACATGTGAGATGTCGGCATCGCAGATGGCCTCTTAGCCCACTGTGCCACAACCTTGGCCCCTTGATTATGTTTTTTTATAAGGAAAGTGTAATGGAGAGTATGTTCTATAGAGGAGCAAAGCGATAACTAATGTGAGTGGAGATTCTTAGGCATTGTTGTTACTGCCTATGTGGTCAGACTGTTGCAGTATCTTGAGATCCCAGATTGGTGGGAACAGTTTTGAAGGGAAAATAGGATAAAGTAGGTGACGCTTGTGTAAAGGGACTCAGCTCCTCTGCACTCAGCAAGTCAACTCAAGGGGCTCCCTCTCTCTCTAGGGTTGGCTGTGTGAACTGCTCCGCTGGAAGGAGAACCCAAGCCCAGAAAACCGCACCCTCTGGGAGAACCTCTGCACCATCCGCCGCTTCCTGAACCTCCCCCAGCACGAGAGGGATGTGATCTACGAGGAGGAATCGCGGCATCACCACAGTGAGCGCATGCAGCATGTGGTCCAGCTCCCGCCTGAGCCGGTGCAGGTCAGCAACCCCCACCCCAACCCACACAGTGGTTTCTGTGCCAGCAGCAGCAGTTGCAGGTCAGAGAGGCCCGCTATACCACCTGTCATTAGACTGGGTCACGTGCCATGTTCCTGGGGACAGAGGACCCTGTTGTCAGAGTGGCCACTGTGTGTGTGTTTGTGTGTAGGGAAAGAGAATGAGCACGTGTTGTTTGTATATCTGCATAGAGGAAAATGACCAAGTTCTAGGTCAAGCAGATGCTTTCCCGAAAGTCTTCAACCTGTGACATTATGAAGCCAGGACATTCATGGAGAAGTAAATCTCCCTGTCAAAAAAATCCCCATCATTGCCATTCATTTGTTTTTTAAAGAAACACTCTGGGGTAGTTTCTGATCCAAAATTCATCAAGGAATGTTTGTGATGAGAAGTAGCTTATGACCTAAGGAGTACCATTGAACTCAATTGAATCTTCAAGAAAAATTGTGGCAGATTCTTAGAATTTTTAAGATGAATTTTCCTGTCTTTGGTTTTTTCTGCCTTCATTTAGGCTACATGTTGGCTTAGTTATTGCTCTCATTGGAACAAATAATACTCATATCTGAAAGTAATTGAGTTCAACTAGCAGCTCTTTCTAAAATCCGTTTCCTTCAAGAAGAGAAATTAACTGGAGTTCCAAGGCTAGACCCCTCGAGCTTTACCTACAGTTGTTTTGGGAGATTGTAAGATTTTCTCTGCTGCCCAATACCATCACTCCTGGCTGCCACCAAAGAGAACCCTTTAAGGCTTCTCTCTGAGTCTCCTCAGGTGTGGCAAGAAGAGTTGAGGCAGAGTGCATGTGTGTGCCTCGTGTGTGTGTGTGTGTGTGTGTGTGTGTGTGAAGAGTGGAAGAAAGGATGAGTGTGTGAAGAATGCTGGAGAGGATGAGGATGGAGGAAAGGTAAGGCGTGGCTAAATATCCTCCCCTGGGGTTTCTGTGTCCCCTCTTCTCCAGTTCATGTCTGTTAGGTCACTTTTCTTATACATGTAGACACCTCGTTCCTTGCTTTCATGCTGTCATCAGGTGGTTTCCAAGGCCAAAGTCACCGAGTGTCCGCAGCGTTAGTTGTGCGTGGAGTCTCCACATCTCTTGCAGTCTCCACAGTGGGCCTGCAGTGGGTGGGTGATTAGACTACTCTGCAGTCATGTGGCAGAGCCTGCTCTCCTGATCTGGACTAGATCTTGGGGTGACTCATTCTTGGGATTGCCTTCAAAAGTTGTTCTCTGCTTTCGTGGTTGGGGCTCATCCCAACCTCAGGACACCTTCCTATAGGTAATTATATTAATCTACTGCCACATAGAGCAGCGGTGTTCATCCATTGAGATCTAGGAGAAATTTAATATTAAATAGGGATCCAGTATAGATTTTCTAGCCTTTTATAAAGTAAATTTATAAAAAATTCTGAGAAGCTCCCACTTATTGTCATTGTCATTTCATAAAATTTTATTGAATATCAAACGCATTAATGAAATGAGTAGCTTCAGACATATAACCTTTATAAACTCAGCCAAAACTTGCTATTACAATCCCTCCCCTCTCCCTCACTTTGGTGTTGGTGATTGAACTGATGTATGAACCGGCATGAGGCTAAGGACCAACTTCAGGAAACCAGTACTGTATAGACTTTTCGCTTAGGGCCCTTCTTTCCTGTGCCATACTTGTCTCCACACTTTGCACAGAAAATTACCATCTCTGTGGGCTGCGATGTTTGAGCAGCTATAAGAATGTTCATCAAAGTATTTTATCTTATGTTTGATGAGTTTGAGTGAAGTAAGTCTTGGAAGTAGAGACCTAGAGCCGGTGTTGTGGTACAGTGGGTTAAGCCACCCTCTGCTTGCGATGCCGGCATGCCATGTTGGAGCTTCAGTTGAGCTTCCTGATATTGTGTCTGTGAAGGTACATTCTGAAGCCAGGAGCTAGAACCTCCATCTAGGCCTCCCACATGGGGGTGGCAGGGACCTAAGTATTTGAGTCATCACCTGCTGTTTCCCACGGTGTACATTAGCAACTGGAGTCAGGAGACCCAGGCAGTTATAAAACTCAGGTCTTTCTATGTCAAGTGCCTACATCTCTAGTGTGGTCTTAACCATTGGGACAAATGCCCATGCCCATCCCTTCCTGGACTGTCTTTTCTCTCTCTCTCTCTCCCCCTGTTTCCCTCCCCTTACCTTCCATTCCCTTTCCTCCATCCCTCTCTCCCTCCCTCTCTTCCTCCCTCCCTCCCTCCATTCCTTCCTCCCTTCCTCCCTTCCTTCCTTCCCATCTCTTTCTCTGTCTCTGTTGGTCTCTGTCTCTGAAATACAGAATGAGAGAGAAGAGTGAGAAAGAGATCGTTCATCCATTGGCTCACTCCCCAAATGACAAAAACAACCAGGTCAGGGCCAGGCTGAAGGAGCCAAGAACTCTTACTGAGTCTCACATGGATGACAGGGACACAATACTGTCTCCCAGGCACATTAGCAGGAATTTGGATAGGAACCAGCACTCTGATATGGGATGAGGCTATGAGGCTTTGGGCAGTGATCTCTGTGTATAATTACCTACCAGATTGATCTATTTAATTCCTTCTCACTCTTGTCACCATCCCCCACTCCACTTGGTGCTTTCTCCAATGTTGAGAAGTCTCTTAAAGTCACAACCCCTCTCCTCACAGAATATAGGATATTTAGGGCTGGCATTGTGGCACAGTAAGTTAATCTGCCACTTGCATGTGGGCAGTATTGCATAATGCAGTGCCCATCTGAGTCGGCTGCTACTCTGTGCCCTGGCTATCCTGCCTTTTTTTTTAAGCTTTATTTATTTACTTGAAAGGTAGAGTTACAGACAGAGAGAGGGAGAGATAAAGAGAGAGGTCTTCCATCTGCTGGTTCACTGTCCCCCAAATGGCCTCAATAGCTGGAGCGGGGCCAATCTGAAGCTAGGAACTGGGAGACTCTTGCACATCTCCCAAGTGGGAATAGGGGCCCAAGCACTTGGGCCATCTTCCACTGCTTTCCATCAGCAGGGATGCTGGATCAGAAGTAGAATAGCCAGGACTCAAACAGGCACCCATAAAAGATGCTAGTGCTATCAGCAGATTAACCTACTACGGCACAGAGCTGGCCCCAGCTACCCTGCTTCTAATCCAGCTCCCTGTTAATGTACCTGGGAAAGCAGTGGTAGATCAACCAAATACCTGGGTCCCTGCTGCCCACATGGGGAACTCAGATGGCTCCTGCCTTCAGCCTGGACTGGCTCTAGCTGTTGTAGGCATTTGGGGGAAAGAACCAGCAGATGGAAAAATCTCTCTGTCTCTACCCCACCTTTTCTGTCTATCATTCTGCCTTTGAGATAAATAAATCTTGTTTAAAAATTAAAGCAGAGATGATATTTTCTTCCTATTTATTTGCAGAGTTAACAAATGAAGTCTTGTATCACCTGCAGTTGTATTATTTTCAGCCCACCAAGGTTTAAAAAAATGAAATGAAAAAGCTTACGTGGAAAACCCAGGTGATTTCACAGAAAATCTAGACAGCCAGATCCACCATGTCCACAGTGGCACAAGGCTGGAGCCAACACCCTTCCCACAGAGCACCCACTCCCCATCCTGCTGCGCTGACCCCCATGCCTGCACTTTCTGGGCACCATGTCCACACATCCTTCCATTTTATTCATTTAGGCCTCACTCCTGTCATATCACCTTACCCTGTCAGTCCCCTGACCCACAAGATTCCATTTCCTGGCTCTGATTTCACCAATGGTAGCCATCACATACAAGTTATTGTTAGAATTCTAACACCTAGCACCAGCCTTTGCAAGCTCAGCAATAAGTGCACGTTTGCTGGGATTTCACTTCAGAGAGGAAGCAATGTGATGTTTGAGACCAGTCTGCAGCTGGGGCCTCTGTGAGTTGCAGTCAGCCCCACAGCTTCGGTGGTCTGTCCTGGAAGAGTGAGGTGGTTCTTCCTTGGGAACTCAGATCTCTCTAGGCAATGGGTTATCTTTAACATCTTACTGAACTATCTGGTTTCTCCAGGTTTCCTTTCAGCATTCTAAATCTCTATGTCTAAGTCTCTTTAATAATCCCCTCTAAGTTTCCAATGGACAGAAATTGGCTTTCCAGGCCCCAAATACCCTTTGTAAACCAGATTTATTCACACCATTGAGCCCCAATGGGGACACTCCTGCCCCAAGGGAGTGTCAGTTCATTCTTGGGACCCATAAAATTCTACAATTTACATTGGTTTATGCTCCTTCAAAGGATCACAGTGCATAAAGAGATTTTCAGGATGTCTCTGGCATTAAAATTGTATGAAAGGGAAGATGATTAGGGAAAAAAATGCCTAAAAAGCTTTCTTGGAGGATTAATAATTTTCAGAAAATTTTGAGAAATGCTAATCTACATGATGTTTTTAGTCTATGTGTATAGGTAGTGCAAAGATCAGCAGAGGTGAAGCATGGTAAGGCAAACCAAGCCAACCAAAGTAGATCGTGAAAAAGAAGAAATGCATTCTATTTTTTACCTCAAAATGGTTGAAGACAAAATTATATCTTGTGTTTGTAGTATTTTCCCCCCTAGTGGTTATTATGACTTGAGGCCCTATTCTGAATGGATATCCCAAGCTTAGAATCAAAAACTAGTTAGGTCAGGGTATTCATTATTACAAACTCTGTTTTACAATTGGAAAAACTGGAGCAGAGACGCCAAACCTTGCCTGAAGCCAGAATTGGCAGCTGCATGAAAACACGGGCATTTTTGGCATCCAACTTTTCCTCTGACCACACTTCCGTCTTAATGCAGCAGGAAAGAAAGGGACTATGACGAGGTCCCCAAGCGGGGTTGACTGGGGAGTGTTTGCCAACTTGTTCATGTCTGTGCAGTTTGTGCTTTATTGCTTTACTGTATTTCTACCATAGTGTTTCCAAGTTCAGGAATTCTCAGCCTACTGCTATGTGATTTCCTGACAAGTACTTGTTTTAAAATTCCAGACTATACATTTAG